ACGAGTGGACCCGGCATCTGTTGGCAACATTTTTTGGGGTCAACAGTTTCTACCATTGAATTGCTAAAAATTAAGTCCTAGCAAATTATATTTTCGAGTGTGGGGTTCGCAACTTCGCATTGTTCTCCTCTTTTCTTCCCTTCTATTTTATTTTAGTTTGTTTCTTGCCGTATATATGTGCGTAAATGCACACGTATACTTTCAAATTTATGTGCGTGCAAGGAAATGAACGAATTTTCGCCTTTTCGTGGAGTGAGTATCATGAAATGAGAGATGAATAGTGTAATCCTTTCCCGATTGAGATTATCCTTACAATTTTATACCAAATTGAAGGAATATCTCATCAGTACTGAACTTGTTATATATAATTTTGATGAATAATTCATCTTTTAATGTTTCTCAAAATTGATTTAGGATTAATCTTCATGTACTAGCTTAATTGATAGTGCTTTTGATTTAACTCGAGTTAAAAATGATTATGATCAAACTAATTAACCTTGAATATAATGCTAACGATACAACTTGGATTATTTAAGTAACTTTATTGTCCTTAATCCACATGTAAAAAGATTTATTGTGTTCTTGAATCAATAAGGGAAAGTCTATCCTAGTGTAGCCATAGCAAACATTCAGTTAATGATGCAATTCATGAGAATTCAACACATTTAATGCATTAACATTACCTTCAAAATAACCCAGCCCGTACATTGACTAGTATTATTAAAAACATGAATACACCTCTATTTCTGTACAATATGTACATATCACACAAGACCAGCAAATCCGAGCCAGATAAGTTCATATATCACTATGGATTGGCTCTGACTGAGACTGCAGCCAATAGTTCGGCAAACTACACTATCAAACGGACTCCATCAAAGAGGCAATATTATTCCTCTGACGGCTTGGAGCTGCACAAGGGCGGTGAGATCTCCGATTTACCAGAAAGGACACCATCTGAAACAAGACGAGTAGGTGGATTGATTAGACAAAAGTAAAGCAAAATAGATGCATGAATACAAGTGTGTTCGGCTAAGACTAAAAATTATTTACTTACAAGAATCTACTTGAGTTCTAGAATAAATAGATCTTTTCAGTGAACCTTAAAATATGAGTAAATTAACTTATTTTAAAAGTAAGGTAAGAATTGATTGCGAATAAATAACTTTTTTACCTTTTAAGTACTTTTCGGATGAAATAGTATTTTTGCATACAGAAGTCTAGATAACTTAAACAAGACAAATAGCCTGAGGTATTCCATTTGTCAATTCTCATTTGAAACCAATTTATAAAAAGTTGAATTAAACATTTCCTCAAACCAATAAATAGATAAAAGAAATCATACCCGACATAATTTTGGCACAAATTTTCATGTGATTTTGCTTGAAGAATAAGCTTCTGCACTTGTAATTCGACGGTTAAACCATGGTCAGCTTCACGAGTA